AAAAATAAGAATGAAAAAGGGCATAGAGAGAGCTAGGAGTCAGGAAAGATCTCCATGACAAGATAACAAAGCAGCAAAGATTTAGTGGAAGTTACGGAACATTCTAGGCAGACTAAACAGTGAGTGCCAAGGTCTCAAGGGAAGAGGATTCTTAGCATATTGAAGAAGCACAAGAAAGCCAGTGAGATAAGAAAGGAGAGAACAGATAAAAGAATAGTAAGACCAGTAAGTGATGAGGTTAGAAAGGTAAAAATGGACCAAAGCAGCAAGTATTTCTGCTAATTCTCTGAATAAGACAGGGAGTCATTGGGGCATTTTGAAGCAGAGAAATAATACAATCTAACTCATGTTTTAAAAGGTTTACTCCAGCTTCTAGGGTTAGATTAGACTCAAAACGTAATTGCAATAGTTCAGATGAGACTTGCTTGTGCTTAAAGGTGGGACTAAGAAGTGGCAGGATTCAGTATATGTTTTATTTTCATTTGTTTATTTGATTCTTGTTATAAAAATTAAGCAATATAAAACTAGACAGAATAATAGAATGAATGTCTTTATTCTCATCACTCAGCCCAAAATATAAAATCATAGACTGCCTGTTTGTATTATTTTATAGCAAATGCCAGGTATCATATTATTTCATGGAGTCAGGATGTATTTTGATGGTACTGCCAAGACTTGATGATGGATTTGTTATGGGGTATAACAAAGAGAGGAGTTAAGAATTATTCCAAAGATTTTGACCTGATTAGAGAGAAATATGAAGATTTCAATGTGATGGGGGAAGTTCTGGAATGATAAAGTATTGGGGAGGGATTAGGGTTGAAAGAAAGTAGGTATTTGGTATTGTCATAAATTTTAGATGCCCATGGGACACTAATGTTGAGAAATCAAGCAGGAAGCTGGTTGCAGGTAAAAAGTTAGGACCAGAGACACAAATTTGGAAGACATTGGCATATTGACAGAATATAAAGACATGAAGTGGATGAGAAGAGAGCTCCAAGTCCTGAGCCCTGAAGCAATTCAATATTCACAGATCAAGGAGCTTGGGAGTAAAAAGCAAAAGAGTCTGAACATGAGTGGCCAGAGGGGTTAGAGTATAACCAGTAAAATGTGTGTAATAGAAACCCAGTGAAGCATGAGTTTGGGGAAGTGATCAAATGTGACAGAATTTGCTGATTTTCCAAGTAATGAGAGGACCATAATTAGGTATTGGGTTTAGCAACATGGAGGTCATGGGTAACCTGCTTGTCAGAGCAGTTGCAATAAAGTACTAGGAACAAAATCATTATTGCAATATGAGGTGAGATATTGGAGTGAGGTTAGACAATTCAAAGAATGTTGGTACAGAAGGGAACAGAGAATGGCGTGGTAGAGGAGAGGGAAATGGGATTGAGGGAGAATTTGTTGCTAAAGAAAATATAACTGCATGCTTACACGTTGCTAGACATGATCCTCCAAGTGGAAGAAATTGAAAATTCAGGAGAGAGAAAGAATGGCTGAAGATTTGTTCTTTTATGTTGCAAGAAAGGATGGGATTTCGTGCACAAGTAAAGGTTTGGCTTTAGTTAAAAGTGCAGGCAGTATATTTATAGAAATTCGAGGACAGATTACATGCTTAATGACACACTTGGGTAAATAATTCAGATGTGAAAGCATGTAGAATTTCCCTTCTGATTTTCCAGGAAATTAGCAGCAAGGTCAACTAAGATTGAGGGAAAGGGGGAAGTTCTTGGAGATCTGAGAAGAGAGGAAAGGCACGAAATATCATTAGAAACATGCGTGAAAAAAGAGGCGGATTGATAAATGCAGTATAATTGCCAGTGGCATTAATGGGCAACATGAGATTAGTAGCTATGAATTCAAAGTGAGAGGAGTTGGCCTGTTTGTACCTTTTCCTCCAGCTATACTCAGCTACAAGAGTACAAGTAAAGAGTAGGTACAAAGTTACATTTACTTGAGTTGGATTTTGCTAAGCATGCATTGTGAAATGAAAGAAGCCAGCAAAACATTGATGTAAGTGAGCAAGTGTTTTCAGTAATGGAATTTTAGCTGTTGAACGAGTGGAGGAAAACAGGAAGGATGAGAGATTGTAAAAACATCCATAGGATTAATGAATTGTAGGTCCCTGTGGAATCAAAGGTTTGTGGTAAAAGTCCTAAATGGAAGATAGGGAGATAAGAGTCTGGAGAGACAGGCAAGAATATAATTTGTAAAGCTGGGATAATAGAGAGGTTGCAATGATTTGTGTTGTCAAAGTCCATGTTATGGCCATGGGAGTGAGTAACCAAGGGGCTATGGAGGATCCATGCTTGGGCTTGAAAGATAAGAAGATTTCAATAGAAGAGGAAAGGGCAAAATGGTATTATAAGCAGGCAACTGTGAGCAGTTATGAAAATCAGTATTTTGCTCAAACATGGCAACTTCAACTTCTCCTCCTCCTCTACCTCCTCCTCTCCTTTGAACCTTATTTTCTGCCTCTTTTCCACATTGTCTCTACGCTCATGCCATTCTGAGACTCTCCATTCTGCCTGTGTGCAGTGACTGCTCTGAATGCTTTACCCGAATTCCAACATTTAGTCCTCATAACAATCCTGAGAGGTGGAATTTATCTTCCTTTTAAACATTCTAGCAGAGAGGTATTATTCCTGTTTTATGCATAATTAAATACACAAAAGTCACACATCTGATAAATAGTTGGACCATTTTCAATCCAGCTATTTGGACTTAAGTGGCATATTTTTAGCCATTATAAGTTATAGAAACCACACTTCTCCCTATGTATAAATCAGAGCTAGACTTCCATTAAATGGAGTTTGAAAGTTTTTATGTGCATGTCTTTATATAGAAATGTTATTGTACTTAAACTTAAGAACATTTACATCTTTGAGCAGTGGAATGAGTGATCCAAACTACATTTCAAAAAGATAACTACAGACAGTGAGGATGGATGGATTAGAAGGTGAGAAGTTATTTCCAGAGATCAGAGAAATGATGATGGAAGTCACAGAATAAAGTGGCATGGCTGAGCTATGGCCAAGGTGGATGTGACAAGACTTGAAGAATGCAGTGTTGGGAGGCAGGCAGGAGTAAAATATGGCCTGGGTTTTTTGCTTGGTCAACTCGATGGAAGGTACTAAAATAAACCAAGAAGAGAGAAAAAAATATATATATATTTAAGGAGGAGACAGTGAGTATGGTTTTGGGCAGGTAGAATTTAAGGCACCTCCAGAAAATCCATGTAAAAACATGAAGATAATTGGGTAAGAATCATCAATATTACCTTAGTTTTCACAACCGTACACAAACAGAGATTCAAGGAACTTATGAGACATTGTAAAATCACAAAGTTAAATAGTTACAGAGGTGAGACTAAAACAAATGCCTGCTTCTTCACAGTAATGAATGGTCTTAGCATGTCTGTGTATGTATGTCTATTTCTTTCTTTTCATTTTAAAGAAAGGTCAAATTGTAAGACACAATAAAACTTAAAAAGGATATGCATTAACTGTTGTTGCCAAGTAGAAAGAAAAGCATTTTGAGACCCAGCATTGAGGAGTTGTATTGTACCACCTGGTCATCATACTGCACCATTTTGCACTAAATACCACTTATGCAAGTCCTACTTATAAAGTCCCTTTTGGATCTGAGAAGTCTCTAAAAGGTCACTATGTGTTTAAAGCACTCAAAGACTTGAGAGACCAGAAGCTCAGTACATGCAACACTGCTTCTTTCCACATGAAACTTACCCAGAATGTATCTTAGACTTATGGATCAAATTTCATAGTCTTAAAATGGCAAAACTTTTTAAGGGAAAAATATTGGGGACAAAAAAGCTCCAGAAGACTGTAATTTTGAAACCAGACACATATACCTCATTTTTGTCTAGTCGGTAATAATATTCACATTAACAATTTCTACTAAATACTAGACATTCTGCTATCCTTTATATAGACAGCCTAATTTAATCCTAACAAAAATATTGCAAGATAAACATTATTATTTTCTCCATATTAAAGAGTAAAATTAGCCTCAGAGAAATCATGTGTTTGAGATCACATGATGTCAATGGCAGAGTTGGGATTACAAACTAACCACAGTGGTTCTTTTATACCCTGTTCTATCGATATTAAGCCTAATTCTGTTCTCTGTTCATCACATTGAAAACCAAAGAAACAAAGCATTGATATTACATATTCACATTCTTATCTTTTTTCAAGTAAGTTTTTATAAACTTATTTTATATACTTATTTGATTCTGTAAACAATCCTGCTTAAAAACCACTCATCTCCATTTAGTAACGAGGGAAAGACACAGAGTAGGGATTTCACAGAATCTCCAAAGTTCCTGCTCAAGATCTGCCATTGCTATTACTGCATGTGTACATATAAAGAGATTGCAGATTAGGCTGAATTTTAGCGGTAGCATCACCTACCTGTTGTCACCTTCTCTGGAGAAAAAGACCGTGAAAGTTTGGATGTTTCCTTTTGCTTCTGCAGGTGGGCGCCAGCTGAGACGGACAAATCGACTGGAAACCAGGACGGGGACCACATCTCTGGGAGCTGAAGGGAGGACACTGGAGCTTGGGACAGCTAAGGAGGAAGGAGATGAGAATGTCAGAGGTGTCAGTGCCATGGGTGGGAATTGGGCAAGAAGTCAGAGACGGCTATTAGCGAGCATTGCCATGTTACAGTCCTGCAGGTTCTAAAGGAAGGAGGAAAACCAAGGGAAGCACACGGTAACCAGAATCCAAGGTATTAATATGTTCACGTTTTGGGGGTTTTAAAAGGGTGGCTAATAACAACATATATGATTCCACTGCATATTTGTCCAGTTTTTATTACTCGTGGGATCCATGACAATAAGAAAAAAAATACTTAGGCAAGAAACAAGGAAAGAAATTGGGTAATGTGAATTTTTAATAAGCACATGAGTTCTAGAAAGACCTTACCTTAGAACTGTGGATAATATAATTGAATATTGTAAACAAATTATACTTCTCATGACTTTAAGTGATAACAGAAAATGACTTGGACAAGAAGCAGATTGTTTTAAGTAATTAATAATATATCTCCCTGAATTCTTTCTGGAATGAGGCAGGGGTTGAATACATAAGAATGTGGATGAATTAATAAACAAATAAATAAATAATGCATGTATGTATATTTGAAGAATAGTGTTATGGTTCAGAATATAAACTTAAGATATGTTAAAAATAAAGCTAAATTTACAGTGACTGTTTTGCCAAAGACTATCTACCAATATTTTGAAGAGTTCCACGGAGAGCTAAGAGAGGGCAATAATTTCATAGAAATTTACAAAGTTTTTTGGGGGGTGGGGTTTACCGCCTTAGAAAAAATGTGATCATATAGCTTTAATAAACAGTAAGGTCATCTTATTTCTGACAAAGAAAAAAAAACACATTGTAATCCCCTTCTTATATTTAAGAAAAATTCATAACTAAGTTGATTCTTTAAAATATTGATTTCATAGTTAAGATGTGTTTCACAATAGAAAAGACACAGCCCAAGTTGGTGTACATAAATTGAAACAGAATTAGTAAGCTCTAATTTATAGGTCGAATCAATGGAGACCCCCAGATCACATAACATAGCCATGGACTTACACGTATTGATAAATGCCTCAGGTAACCAAGCAATTATTACAAAACCTTATTCCTGTCAAAGTCTGTCTGCGCTCTTTTTGACACAACGTGAAATATCATACTTATGGATTTTTTTAATACCACAGAAAATTCAGACCAGAAATTATAAGTTGACAAAACCTAACAAAAAGTAGAAGCAGTTTTCATGAACTACCTTGCAGTAAAGGAAATGACAGAAAAAAATGATACAAGACAAAAGTATACAAGTGTACCATGCTTGTAGAGTATCACCATATCGACAGCAGAATTTAACAATTGTTATCAATAGGAATAACTGAATTATGCACAATTAGAAAACTGAATTTTCAAACATTTGGGGCATTTATTATATGTAATAGAAATTTTCTATTAAATATGTGTGTGTATTGGGAGGATGTGCTCGCATGTGTGTGAATTCATAATTCATCTTTGTTGAATTTCTCTGTTTCTTCGTGTTTGTTCAAGTCCCCAAGTCTATGGAACATGTCTTTCATCTCAACAGCAATTTCTAGCCCCAAATCAAAAGTACTCATTTGCCTACTTTTAAATTCTCAAACTGGATTTTGTAGACCTTTCCCCTCAGTTATGATCAAAGTTAGGGATTGACTGAGTCCCTAGTACTGTCATCAGCTAAACTCCTGTTGGCTGGAAAAATCCATTTTTGGGGGAGAATAGAATACTTCATTTCCTAATGGTTCCAGAAACATTATCCATTTATAATACATACCAGTTATACAGACAAAGAAAGGTTTTAAAGAATGGCAGAAAGTGTCCAAAGTTATTTCTGACTCCACAGATTCTTTGTCTACTTCTTTGCAGAAAAAATTTCCCCTTGCTGTCCTGATCAGCACAGAATTTGAAATAAATGGAAGACTGGCAGTGAGTTAGTCAATCTTTTGTAGCGGAGTTGCAAGGGGAGGGGAAAAGATTGATGCCTGGATGCAGAGAGTCTCTCTCAAAAATATGGGTGATATTAAGCTTCTTGACAAAAACCTTTACTTCTACACACTACAGGCAGCTCAGACTGCCACACTGAAGTGAACTTACTCTCCCTGCTTCTCCTCCTGGGCTGTGTCCGTGCTGTCCCCTCAACCATACAGCCCAGAAACCCAAAATGCATCCCCTATTTCCGCCTCTCCTTCACTGACCACGTGCTCGATTCCCCATCCTGGACATCTCGTCAATTGACCCACTCTTATATCCACGCTGTCATACTCTGTCACTGAAATTATCATAACTGTCTTCCAGTTCCTCTGCCTTCCTTAAACTCCCCTTCCTCAAATGTATTTTTAGCGAAGCATCCAGAATAAGCTTATAAAAATATAAATCTGGTCCTATCACTCTACTGCTTGTTTATCCTCCATATCGCTTTACCTCAGGGCAAGCTCCAAACTTCTTCATCTGCTCACTGTCCTGGCTCCTCCTGGCCAGTCGTCTTGGATTGGCTTCCCCCATAGACAAGGCCTCAGGAAACGGCTTGCATGCAAATATTTTTGGGGAGAGGTGGTCCCAGAAATACCAGTGGGGAGTCAGGAAGTGAGACAGGGCATGGAGGGAACTCTATAAAGAGTGAATTATCTAGATGGTTATCACTGTGGGGAACTAAAGGGAAATCCCACTGGGGACTCTGGGAGTCAGTGCAGGACATGCCTGAGGGTAGCACATTGGGGTATTTATCTACTGACTCCTTTGCCATTGGCTGAGACTGACTCCGAGGGCATTGCCCTTCTCGAACAATGGCCTAGTATCTTCCTGTGGCAAGAAATTCATCTGTGGGCAGAGGCTTGCAAGTGTCCACGGTAGGTGGTGTTCAGTGGCTCTGCTCATCCAGCAACTATTCACAGAGCACCTATCTATCACCTGCCCATTCTTGTTCTAAGTGCAGAGGAGAGAGTGGTGAATAACAGATGAAGCCATTGTCTTCATGGAGCATAAGTGGAGGCTCCTTGGCTTTTTGATGCTTATGTTAAACATACTCTCTTCATGCCGAACCACTTGCAGTTCCCTAGGGCCTTCATAGAAGCAGGTCCCACACTTAACAAGCCTATCACATTCATCTGACTAACCCCTACTCTCCTTCTTGGCTGAGTTGAGGTCCTGTTTCTCCTGGAAAGACTGATCAAAAGTATTTGGAAAATATATACCACACAATAGTTAATTTTATAATACAAAAAGAATGTTTGAAATATCAGTAAAATAATAAATAAATGTATTTAAAAGTAGGGTTCGACTTGACAAACAATAAAAGAAATACACATTAAAATAAAGCCTAAAAAAATCCTATCAGAGTGTCAAGACTTTAACGAATGTTAGTATCTTGCATTGACCAGGGTGTGGTGTTCTCCTATGTTGTTATTTGATGTTTGTGTGAGTACTACCTTCTTAGAAGTCAATTTGGCAAAATCCTTTAAAAGAAAAAAAGAATACTCATAATATTCATCTCAGCATTCTCATTTCTATAAATTCATTGTTTAAAAATAAAAAAAATTTGCCTTTATTAGGACATCAGTCTGAAATCATAGGTAGCACATTTACTCAAAATATCATAGCAAATATATCTTATCAGTTTAAAGAAAATGGAATCCTTAATAAATTTTTTAGAGAATTTTTTTTTAAGTATGATTAATGGTAACTTAGAGAAACTTTTTTGGGAATTTTCAAGATGTTAGAAAAATAAATTTTAAAAGACCAAGGAGGAAGTTTTCAAATCCCTTTTCCCCAAGAGCAGCTCACTCATACATGGTATTATCATCAAAAATGAGTTGACTTCTCTACCCATCCGGGGACTGCCCAGAGGTAGAGCAATGGGAGTTTGCAAGCAGAAATATACGCTTCTCTCTCTTCTCCCCAGGCTTCAGGGAGTGTCTTCTCACAGAACTGGTCTAGACTCAGATGGCACTGATAAAGCTCAGAATAGAATTAATCACGGACTCTTTACCTTAAATTAAACAGGCATTACATGAAAAGGAAAGGACATATTTTAAACAAAGGAATGCCTTCTTATTTTATACAGCGGAATTAATTTTGTTCTTACTAATCCTCCATTCTTTCTCTCCACAGTAACTTGCCTTCAAATAAGGTCTCAATAAAGAACCAATCAGGACTTCTTTTCTTTGCTCTTGGAGTCCTAATCTCCAATCTGGCCCTAATCTGTCTGGTCCATTACTGTTGCCATAGTTACAGCTTCTTTATCTGCTGTCATGGAGAAGAGGAGGCGAATTTGCCACACTATAACAACATAGTCTTTCTTTTTTAAGAACACCTTTTTTAAAATATTATCACAGCAAGATCAAAAAAAGGAGGTGATTTCTGAAGGTAATACAAATTCAAACGATAGTTTTGAAACAAAAAATAATAATAATAATTTGATCATGTCCGATGCAATATCCTTGGTAACAACTATGCTATTGGGTTAATTTTTCTATACAGCTACAATTTTTCTGGATATCAAAGACTTTTTTCACTTAGATTTTTACTGTACGCTGTTTCTGAAATTAATTTCTGTCTCAGTTCATTAATAGTGCATTATCTAATTCTCTGTGAGGTTGGCATGAAAGATAAGCTGTATTCATAAAAACAAAAATATTTAATTTACATTAAACAGTGAGCCAATAGACTTATTTCCTGTTTCATTCCCCATGTTGCTAAGTAAAATACTATAAATGAGGCCACCAAATTAACTAGCTGCTTTATTAGCTACATCTCCTTATTAGCTTGAAGATTTAATAAAAATAAAATATAAATAGATATTATTAGTGAAATGATGGGAACATTTAATTTTCCAAAGGGCAAACATCTATTATTTTTCCTTTTGAAATTTTTTTCTTGTTGTTGTTCCCTTGACACCAAACTCTAGCTTCTTATTGTCTAAATGGAGAAGTGGATAAACCTAAATTATAGTTTAAAGGTTTCACAGCTCATAGAGCAATTTCACAAACCTACAAAAAG